GAGAGAATTTAAGACATGGTTATAGTGTATATCTGCCTCTCCAAAAAGGGATAGAGGTAATCCCTTCCCCACAAGCTCAACCACTTCCTTAAGATGTGGGTCTCCATAAATCCCTGTTTGAACACTACTGCTTTTGAGCACAGTTTAGTCAGTCCAGTACCATTTGATGGTGAGTAGATTGTAGCCCAGTTTCAATCTTTGTCGTCTCGCTTTGATTACGGGCTTACTTAATCCAGATTATGAGGGCTCTTTTGGTGGGGCTCTCTGCAAGAGTCCTGAAGCAGCACCAGGGCATCACTGAGAGAGAGCTGAGGAGCCAAACTGGCTTCTATAAAAGACCGCTCTCTTGATAACCTATTAACCCATTAATCCATGGAATGGCATTGATCTATATAGGAAAGCAAATTAACCCAATCACCTTTACATACCTCACATAATACTGTACATGGGGGATTCCGCTCTCACCCTGTTTTCAGAGGAGACAACATTCAACAAACCATAGCATGATATTAATACCTCAAAACAGCCACTTGCTTCTAAATCTCCGAGCCTACAGTTTCTAGAATCACCCTGTTCAGATCACTGCTTCTTGACTAGCCCAGTATCACTTTGTCACCCTTTGGTCCTGACCACTTTATGCTACTCTATCTGACTGGTTCCACCCCCCAACCACCATCACACCGACTGCTACCCTGGGCTCCCATGCCTCTGGTTCCGACTCACCACTCAGTTTTGGCTTCCTGAACTCAACCCGAACTCCACCAGGCAGGAGGGGCGTTTTGATATTTCTTTATCTTTCTACCAACGAGATGACTTGAAGAAAAGAAGGGGACAGAGTAAGATAGAGATGATTTCTTTACCAATTACGTGGTAAAGAAATCAAGCTCTGTGTTTGATGATTTACATACATTATCTTAATTTCTTTAACCAATACCGGAGTCAGATGTTATTAACCTTTAAAAAGCTATCAAGTGTGCTCCAATTTATTTGATTTCCCAACAAGTGTGAAATGACTAAGGTTCTATAACCTAATAAAGGCATCAAGATTTATTAATCAATTTATTAATCAAGATGTATTCATGTCTACTCAGCTTCTAATGACCTTTAGAAGTTACAAACACATTATATTTCACCTCTGGGAAAGTTCCCTCAAATATCTAAGAGCATAGGCAAGTTTTTATTATAAATCTGACTTTTAAATTAAAAACATTTTATGTCTTATACATCATTTGGTGTCGTTAAAAAGTGAGTTCTGGGGTACAACATTCTCAACAAAATGATACATATGCATGGTTGTACAACCAAATGTATGAGATACCTCTGTGTGTTTGTATGTGTGAGATACATGAATTTAGTTCCCCCTCTTTCTTTTTCATTCCTTAAATTCTTCACTGACATGTACTATTTTTTTTCAGACTTAACAAAATTAATTTTATTAGAATATGATTAAAAGATATTAAAATATGTTATGTTTGATTTTTTTTAATTTTAGTGTATTATGGGGGTATAAGTGTTAAGGTTACTTATATTGCCCATGCCTCCATCCCCTCTCGAGTAAGAGCTTCAAGCATGTCCATCCCCCAAACGTTGATGGATTGGTACCTTTAGCTATTTCCTGTTGATGTTTAAAGGGCTGTTAGAATATGCAAGGAGGTAGTCACTAACAACAGTAAAACCATTGGATATTCAACGTGCTCTTTCAAATATGTATTTAAGGACACAATATCCTATGCAGGGACATAATCAATAAATGTAGCTTGACTAATTCCTGCTAGTGGCTCTCCTAAGAGACCAAAATTATTTATAGGGGATCACATAAGAAGAAGTGATCAGTCAACCAGGAGAACTGATCAAATCACACACTGCCCATAACAAAGAGAAAGAGCTTCTGCCTTCATTTGTTTTCCTGGCATCTGCTGGGACACAGCTTAGATAAGGTTGCTGGCCACATTTCTGTTATTCTGATTCAAGCAGAAAATCCTTTGCAGATCCACAGAAAACGTTACTGTAACATTGCCAAGGGGAGAATTGGGTCAGTGCAATTTAAAGGATGAAAATAATTTTGCGATGTTGAGTGTAGAAACTCTGGGTTATTGGAGGATTACTTTTCAGATAATCTTAAAGCAGAAAAAGACTTCTTAAAAACCATTTTATTCAAGAGAAACTTGATAGATTTTTATTCTATACTTTATAGATCAAATAGTTTTGGGGTGAGGTGGGAGGTGGTTGCCCAGGGTATATTGGAGTTAAGTGCAATGAATTCCAAAACTTTTCTATGTGCTTCTTCTAAAACACCACTGTTTTGTATCCAAGTCTTGTCTAGATTTTATTAAATGGAGTCATTAGGCCATTTTTAAAGCTTTTATGTACTTGAACCAGAAACTTGAATAACTTTTTTATTAGAAGTTCCCGATTTGGGAATACTTGCCTGAGAGTTTCTCTTCTCTGCTATCTTTTGCCATGATTGGAATTGCCAGGAAGGAGGAATTTTTCCATGATTTGGAATTACCAGGAAGGATGGACTTCTAAGGAATGACGATTTGTGAAAGATAGCCACTGAAATAACTGATCCAATTTGTGCAAGTCTCATTGTTTACATACCCTATTCTTTTCACAGGGTTATCGATTTCCTTTACATGTTTTTACTAACTAGAATTATAATTTAGCTTCAATGCCAGCTGTCCAAGATTGTTTTGAATTAAGTGTTTTTAAGGGAGAAAGTCAATCTACTTAATTTTATTTGCATTTTATGTATTTTTTTTAAAAAAATCACATGAGCATGTAATAAATCTCTCAAACTATTTACAGTGATAGGATTATAGCCTATATACAAATTTCTCCTATCAAGTCTCTTCCATTTTGTGGTAGAAGTTTTATTAGCCAGCCAACAGACTCAACTACTAATTTCTCACCAATGTTGGTAAACTTTTACGAAATTTAAATTTACCTATAGTAATCAATAGGCATTAAAAACTCCACCTCTTTTTTTTATCTACCCAGAGTCTGCAATGCCTTGGTGTATGCAAAGCAGTCAGGCCTATCTGCTGGCTGGGAAAGCTTTTCTGTGGCTGATCTAACCCTTAAAGTGAGTCAGGTTTTTTCACTTGGCATCCGTGGATGAGCTACAGAGGTTACTTTGTGAATGTCCTAACATTGGTACGAGTGTTTCTTGTGTGAGAGTATATGTGAATTTTCACATGACTTTACCAAAAGCAGTTAGTGGAGTAGTGGACAGGTGTAGTATAGTGGGCCCTGCCATCACACTGCTTGGACTTGTATGCTGATGGGGGTTCCCCGACACTATCCCCAAATATGGCTCCTTGGCATGTTGGATAGTCCAAGGTGAAGGAATCTGAGATATGCAGGTGCAAGAAGGACTCTGTGACCTTCCCCCAAATCAGTCCGTGACCTTCATGAGAGAGGAGTCCTCCCTAAACCCAGAGGAAAGGAACATTCTTCTCCCTGATGATGGAGTGATGCCAAGAGGGATCCGAATGGCCAGGCCTTGCTAAGTTTCCCCCAGTTCACTTCTCTTGGCTCCCATCCCTCTGCCCTATCACCTTTTTCCATGATCTTCAACTCTTCACCTAACCTAGTATTAAAAAAGAGCCACTCAGGTTTAACCACCTTTTTCAGGTCTTCATTTCCTTATGACAGCTCCCGTGTCACGTAAAGCTTCTATTAAATAAATCTGTGTGCTTTGCTCTTGTTAATCTGCTTTTGTTACAGAGCCCCAGCTGAGAACCTAGGTGGGTAGAAGGAAAAGATTTTTTTTTTTCCTCCCCTATAATCCCAACCCACCACTTGGTGGGTGACCTCAAACAAGTTGCTTAATCTCTCTGCTTCAGTGTTCTAAAAATTGCAGAAATGATTTTATAGGATGGCTGTGAGGATTAAACATGAGGATTTTATGGGCAGACACCCAGGAAGCACTCACTGAAAGTTACTGGTTACATCATCTGTCAGCCCTCAGTAGCCGTGGGTTCTGCATCTGCTGATTCAACCAACCTCAGATGGAAAATATTTGAAAAAAATAACAATAAAAAATAAGTTTTAAAATACAGTGTAACAACTACTTATATGGCATTTACATTGTACTAGGTATTAGAAATAATCCAGAGATGATTTAAAATACAGGAGAGAATATATGTATGTTATACATGCAAATAGTACGCCATTTCATATAAAGAACTTGAGCATCCTTAAATTTTTGTATCCTTGGGGGTCTAGGAACCAATCCCCCATGGATACCAAGGGGCAACTTATATTCTCAAAGGAATCTGTAACTACCAAAAAGTTAAGAGACACTGACCTAAGGTATTTTTAGAATTGTGTTTTAAAGAAAAAATCAGTTCCTGAGTTGGGAAATCACACTCAAGTCTAATTTTAACAAAAATATTCATTATCAAAACACAGAAATGCATATTCATAGCAAAGCAGAAAGACCTTGCCAAATAGCTTTGAAAATCTGGAAGGTCAATTTGTGTTGCTCTTCCATGGGAAGAAAAGTAGCTACCCGGTCTCAGGTTGGCCTCCAGATGAAATACTTTCAATCTGCTTCTGGATGCTGTATCAGGCAAGCTTGTGTTGAAACCCTGAAATAAGTTTCAAGGTGACAGCCTAAACTGGAACTCTTTGGTTGTGGACACTTTCTCAGCATTTTCTTTTTCAGTTAGTGTGAAAGTCAAAAGTTACAAAAGCCAACGAGATTCTGCATCTTTTAATGAAAGATAAAACAACAATATAAACATACACAAATTTACAGAGAAGGGATCAACTTTGATACATTTGGAATAAAAGGTGTTTCTTCTTTAAATATGGTATAAAAATAAATGCAAGAAACATTAACCGAGAGTGTACAGACAACAAAAACATGAGCTTGTTTCTGACTGTGAGTACATTGGTGAAATGAAACCTTCTGTGCTAATTTATTGTTTAATAAATGTGAAGCCATATGTATACTTATTGATATACGGGTTTTTTTTTTCTTTTACAATTCTTCCAGTTTGTGACTGACTGAATTTTCAGTGAACTGTGTGTGTCTAGTGGTAGCTTTAAGAGAAAGAGAGAGAGAGAGAGAAATAAAAAAACAGGTTTTACTTCACTTGAACTTGTTAAAAAGGAAAAGACATAGATACAGCTTAGTAGAAGGAGAAAAAAAGCAGACAACAGTTTGAAATGGAGGCATTGAGATGGTAAAGGGTCCCTTGGAGATGGAATGTACACACAAAAATAACAATTCACGTCCTTTGCTCATGCAACATCTTGGTCTAATGTCCTCTGCACCGCTGGGTAACAACAAGGAGCTACAATGTATGTGCAATGACTCCACTCTGTTTCCGTGCTACAAGATGATCCTTTTAGTACGACTGAACAAGGCTTGTTAACCTCTTTGACGTGAGAGATTTCCCCTGAGAAAAAAGAAATACAAAACAAGAAAAAAGAAAGAAAGAAAATCAAGTATGATCACTGAAAACTTGCTTACTGGTATCCTCTTTATTGCAGCTGATTTTTGTGCAAGGGCCAAAACTGGACCCTTTAAGTACATCTTAGTTCAAACTTCATGATCAACCTTCCTTCCCTTCCTCCCGCCCTCCCCTGACACATCAAACAAAACTCCCTCCCTCCACCCCCACTTCCCTTCTCACCCTCTTCCTCCCCACTGCAAACAGACTGATGGTTTCACAGCACAGATTAGCAAATCATAAAACATATCCATAAACGTTCCATCAAGGCTTAGCAATGAGGCAACACCTAGGATACCAGCTGGTTATAAACATGTTACAACAAATATTAGGAAGCTGCTCTAAAAGATAGCAATGTGAATGCATTCTTGTTCAAGGGCTGATATTAGTGCTGCGTTTATAAATTTCTAGAAAGGTAAAGGATATGATTTAATTTTAAAAAATCCATCTTTGAGGGTGTGATTGGTGGAAACTCAAGACTGAGTCTCTCCACTATCCTATATAGTAATGGAGAAAAAGGTGCCAATTGCACATCTAAAAATAAAAGTCTATTTGTTCCCTATTTCAAACTGTTGAAGTCTTCCTCTCCTTTCCTCGCTGACTTCCTCCAACCCCAAGCCCAGAAAAATCTGATATATTCTGATTCCACATACTGTGCTAATGCACAGAGTACATATTCATTTTTTGGAAATTTTGAAAATCATCACTGTTCTTGTAAATTACAAGTACTCTAGAGAGATAGGAAATTGAAATGTCTGATCGGAATGTTCGTTGGTGGTTTTCGTTTCATCTCTCATTTTATATGTTCTAGTATAAAAATAGGTAGTCCACTTATGTAATGTATTTTTTTTTTTTTACTTCTCAGAAGATAGTAAGGGAAAATCAAAAGTTGTTTTGTCAAATATAATGTTTTAGTAATAAATTATAGTCATAGCAATAGTCTTGATTTGCTACCTAATGTGGCTCGGAGTTTGATGGAGGGGTGGGTGGTGTTGGGAAAGAAATGACCGCTCCTGGCCTCTGTTTCAGTCCATGTGCACTGCTATAGCAAAACAACAAAACAGGAAACACCCAAAGACTGGGTGTTGTCAAACAACAGGAATTTATTTAATATTTTCAGCTTCCAGAGTTGGAAACTCTTACATCTAGATACCTGCAGATTCAGTGTCTAGTGAGGGCCCTGTTCATGGCTCATAAATGATGGACTCTCCCTGTGTTTTCACAAAGTGGAAAGAAGGAGTGAATTCCCTGCAGCCTATTTTATCAAGGTACTAATCCCATTCATGAGACTCCACCCTCATGATCTAATCACCTCCCAAAGACCCACCCCTATCCTAATACCATCACCTCCAGATGGTGTTAAAAATGGGATGCAGTACAAGTTTAGCTTGACAAACTCTTGTCCCAGGAAATAATTAAAATCATTCTTTCGTAGAAGCCTATAGAGAAATCCACACCTACAGTAGTAAACCTGGGGGTTTGTGATAATAGAATAAAAATGAGCAAAATGAGAAAATACATGTAGCATCTCAATATAGTAAAACAATAAAAATCTGTGTGATACAGACTCACCAAATATTGCAATAGGGATATTTGTTTTGTGTGCTGAGACAATAAAAAAGCAAACTTGGGAACAACTAACAGCAAAAAGAACTTAAGTGCCCCATGGAGGTCAAAGCAAATAGCATGGCTGTCCAATGGGCCGTCTAGATTTGAAGATTAGATCACTTACATCTATTTGCAAACCATGTGCAAATCCTGCTTTGTTCACATACTGGAAAGGAAAATGCACAGGCACTACTCTAGTGCAAAAAGAAACTATTGTGATTACATATCACTTACTTGATCTATTTTAGAAAGTATTCAGTTGAAAACAATATGGACCCCTTCTTCCAGGGAAGTAGATATTGGTACAATATTTGCATGTCAGTCATTTTATAATGTTCATTTTCAGGGCAGTTCTTTGGAAGCTATAGGAAACCAGCTCCTGCCAAAATCTTTTCATAATTTTTCCAAGTTGAAGATTCTGAGAAATTTTTATAGCTACTTCTAAAGTCTCAATTCTAGAAACTAAAAGGGATAATAAACCCTTACCAACAGCACTTTTTTTAAAACAAAATTGCTTAAAATAACTCAATAATTCTGTGTTTAACCACATAATTATATATGTGTTATGTGATTTAAATCCATCCTGTCAGATTCTAAAGGAAACATCATAGTGGAAACAGAAATCTATAGACAAAGACAAAAGAAGAAAACAAAAACTCAAGATTCTATGAGATTTTGTAATATGTAGTTAATGGACAATATGCTAGAAAAAGAAGCACATGATCAGTTTCAGGACAGAGTAAACCTGAGGCTGTAGCTGGCACCCAGGTGAATACAGAGCATCACCCTAACCTATAATACAATAATCATATAAACAAAGAGAGTTTTCTAGGATCTCATAATAAAACTTTATCTCCACCAAACTGACTCCTTCCTATCCCAAATTCTTTGTAGAGATTTTGTTATAATTAGTAGGGAAAAAAAATCCCCTAACCAAAAGTAACAACCTATGTGTTTGTTTTTAACTCTTCCAAATGAGGTATCAAAGTTATGAAATTTACCCGATTAAAAAAAAAAAATCATTCTTGGTCTTAAAGTAGTAACAGAAAGTTGACAATAAGGAGCCCTGAGTCAGGAGAAATCCACACGAAGCCCAAGCTCTTAACTACAGCCCGCAAGCCTTGGGCATCAGGGAGATAAAAGCAACTTTCCACATTCCTGTCCTGCAGACCCTCATCCACAAAGGAAGCTGAGAGAAGCTACATTTGCTTGGGTGACTAAGCCCACTTATTTTATTACTGTCATAAAAACACACAGTAGTCTTTCTCAGTCTAGAAGACACTGAACTGACTGAGGAGAAATGATGGGGTAGATTTTTAGGAGATGGCCACAAAAGAGCTTACACTTAGAAGACTGGGAGGTTATCAGCACTTTCTAGGGGTTTTTTGGAAAAATTTAACCTCGGAACTCTTGCTATTCCCTTACAATTCCTGCTTGTCTCCTACCATTGGCCCCAAATCTCTCCCATATATTGCTGTAGACTCAGAAATACATTCTAGAAAGCCTCATAGGCTGCAGAGACCATGGGGAAGAACTGGAAATGAGAAACAGAAAATCTTGTTATTGCCTTTCCACTGGACTATGTGATCCAATTGTCTGACCAGATGCCCAACCCCACAACTATGTAATAAAAAGAACTGACCATTTGGTGGTCATGAGATGCTACTAGACCAGAGATAGGGAGTGCTCTCATGAGACTCTTGAACTAAAGGATGTTGTCTGTTTGTTCTTTTATTCTCATGTTGAAAAATGCTCTTGTTTCACTTATAGATAACAAGTGTCATTGCCTGAATTTCAAAATTCTTCCTTATCTGGCATCTGGGGCCTTTCAAACATCTACTGTCATTCTCCAGAGTGGTTGGTTGTTTGTCAGCCTTTGCATCTGCTGCTTGCTCAGCTAGAGTCACCTGTCTGTGTCTATACCTGTTCCAATCCTACCCACTCTTCAATGATGAACTTCTTATCTTTGTCCTCACTGCAGCCTCCTAAATGCCCCATTAACTCTTCCCTCTCTGAATTCTTCCTGCCCATAGAACCTGCACTAGTGCATACAGGCCATCTTGTATTTATTACTTTGTAAGTCAGCTGGCTTGGTGAAGAAATAGAACACTGTTAAACAGCATTAATATTAGAGATGTCCCCAGTTAAGTACTTGATTGTTTGCATGAGCTGAACTCATTGGCTGGAAATCTCACTTTAGAAATAAACTAGAAATCAGATTCAAATGTCCTGGCATGAGTAACTTAGGGGAGGAGAGACATGGTAGGTGAGGGAAGAAAGGACACTGTGTTCACATCCTAAATGTTAATCAATTGACTGACATGGTGTGTGTCTTTTCCACTGGGATGGTGATAAGAAAGAATTAAAACTAGGCTAGGTGTTTGGAAGTTCCTCCCTGATGTAAATGAAACCAATTCTTGTAGGTAAACTTCCAAGTGCATTAACTGAAACAAGTGAATAATTTTTGCAAAACTGTGGAGAGTGTATAAGTTCCTAGAATGTTAAAGATTAGCTCAAATTCTTGAGGTTAATGAAGGAAAGGAAAAAAGAAAGAGGATTCTATAGCTGGTTTTGGAGCTGTTGTGTTTAATGTGGAACACTGAAAAGAATTCCAGTATTACATACTAAAAAGAGAGAGTTTATGGACACCTATACATTTACATACTCATCACTAGCTTCCTGTGAGAATTGAGAAGGAACAAGTAAGGCCAATTGCTTTCATTTCCTTAGTTAAAAATATTTTCCCATAATACAAAGTAGAATATTTTTACTAGAGAAATTGAGGAAAACATATAAAAAGATAGAGAAGAAATGTTATTTAAAATGCAATAATTTGGATACCAATATGTCCTTTTTTATACAAAAATACATATTTAAAAATTTTTTTACAAAATTAAAGTTATTCTGCACATAGTATTATGGCTTGAATAATATATATTAAAATTATTATACTTTGATCAACTACCCATGTTGCATAGGTTTCTTCTAAAATAATATTGTTTTCCAAATTCAATGCATTATTTGGTAAGTAAATCAATTTAGAAAGATGCAACCAAAAAATTTTTAGAAAAGAATTAAGCATTATAGAACAGACCAGAAAATTTCAGAGTACAATGCACATAATAAGGGAATGTATTATTTGTGAAATGTTACTTCAGTTCTATACACACATAAACATACATGAATAGAGTTTATACAGTAATTTTATATGTATACACACAGACACAAACACACACAAAAACATATGTATAATGTGTTGGTTAAATGTGTTAAATGTAGGCAGCATCTTAAAGGAAAGATGAAAGTCACTGCTCTAAAATCTGCTTTTTAATATCTGC